GGCCCACCCGGCCCGCCGCGCACCAACCGCCCGGTGCGGGGGCTACTGCAAGCGACCTCGACCTACTGTGAGTGTCCTGTCAGAGCTTATTATGTACTAGGAGGACCCTGCGCGGCCGCGCTAGTGTAGCGAGCGGGCCAATGTCAACCTTATCTCTAGTGTGTTACAGTGTGTGAGTGGCACAGACTACATATCGCAGTAAGTTCAGTTCCAAAGCACTTGTTATACGAAATTCCACCTTAGAGCAAAGGAATTGAGCACTTTGTTTTGCGCACAAATGATCAGCTGATCATCATTTTAATTTTGAACGTACGTGCAAATATCTTCCTTATGTCTATTAAATATAAGTGTGAGTATAGCTCGCTACACTAGTGTTGCCCAGCGGAACTGCCAGTAATATTATATGTAATAATATATCATTTTTGTACTGACTGACTGACTGACAGACTAATGGAAAACTGTAAATATTTAGATATAAGTAGTAGTAAGTATGATATTTTTTGAGCTGGAATGTTGCTACAGTTATAAATATTCTTCTGACTTGTCATATTTTCTAATAATCGATTAGATTTGTATTCTATTGATTTGATGATCTACATTAACAATGTAGTTGATGTAAAAATATACAGATAATGACCGAGTTTGAAAATTAAAAATCTAATTAGTCCGTCAGTTAGGTAATGAAAAAATATTAGACACGTATTTTTTTATTTTGTCGTATAAGAAAACAATACTTAGATAAAACGAATCAAAGTTTAGGAGTGGGAGCTCAAAACGTCATTTCTACGTATAAAACGTACCTAGGAGTGACGTCACGCGATATTTCAAATCAATATATTCGAAAGTATTCATTTCCGTAAGAAAGTAAGAAATACGTGTGTAATGTTTTAAAATAATATACCAGACGGACATTGGAATAACAATGAGTACTATCTTATTACCATTTTTGAATATTTCGATCAAAATCATTATTTTTGTGTTGTAGTCAATGTTTAGTTGACTACACGCTGACTAACTATAAGTGTAGGTTGTGTTAACATTATTTAATAATTTGAACGCCAGAGTAATAATAAAACATTAGTTCGGAACCAATCACTTGTATTTATGTCGATAAATGTGACTACTGAGGGCCGAGTTTTCAATCATCAGCTAATTCTCAACTGTAAAATAAAATTGACAGTTTACAGTATGGAAGAATTGTCAAATATTCAGTTATTTCTCTAATAAAATGTATCTGGTGTCGGAAAATCGGTCCTAGGCGATAGAATTTTGCTTCTGCACAATATGTCGTGGGTTCAATTCCTGCATGAAACTGTTTGATCTACAATTTGTTTAATTATGTTTGCACCAACGATACTGTCCTAGTAAGGAGCCGTTGTTTCTAACAAAAAAAAAATTCGTTTTGACTTGAGTTCCACACAGAATGTGAAGAGAATTCTATCTTTTCTATCGTTGATAGTCAAATATATTTTAATGTAATGTAATAATTATTAATGTAATAATTATTAAACCATTTAGATTTTTCAGAATATCAGTAATAACTTAGTTTATCAAAATGATATTATTGAATTAATATGACCCTTTATATGTATTTGAAACTGTTATAAAATATTAAATATACTAGATTTGCAACCTACTCAATGCAAACAGACAAATCTATTCTCTTCACAAGTATAGATGGCGTTCAAAAAGCTCACAGATAATTATTAAGTAGTTATAATGTAAAGTGGTGTAAGCAGAAGTGGTCAGTATAGCATACTGTATGATTGTACCTGTAGACAATATGTTATATTTGTATCATATATCATAATATATAATAAGAACAAGTCGCCAGGAGCTACTGTGTACTGTGATATGATAGTGTGTGATGACACACCCCGCCCCTATCATACTCTAGTGTTACCACTTAATTAAATTGACAGTTAATGTTGCCAGCTGGAATATATGTACTTAATTGTAAGTTTTGATTCAGCCGCGAGCTGGTAATGTATTGTAAACATCTAATGTTTGTTATACGAATCTTAATAAGTTCTTTGAGAACGATATCTGAATACAATACTGTGAGGTAGGCTGACAACACTCGGCCCTGTGAGTGCGATCAAAATACATGATAAATATGTAATAATATTGTTTGTATGCAACACGCACAAGGTGTCTCTAGCGACTGTACATCGTGTCCATAGATCTTGGTTTATTTATTGTTGGCAACACCACCGGCCGTAGACAGTCGTGTACAGTGTTGCCATCGTTGTGTGTCTGCAGTGGTGTTGCCAGTATGAATATATTAATTAATTGAATTAGTAGTAAGTAGGTGAATAGTGTGTACTGTAAGTATGACAATTTTGTAATGAACAGCGAATTAAAGTGATGTCATTTTGTATCTGTTGACTTTGTACCGATGTGTGTGTGTATGTATGTATGTATGTATATTGTATATAGTGAGTGTGTGAGACGCGCATGCGCGGTTGATACCAAACTGAAACAGAATAAAAAGATAATTTTGTAAGATATCTGTTGTGTTTTATTTGTGTGTCCTGTATGTTATCATCGGCGACTCCTGGGTATCGCCTTATGATCATCGGCGACTTCATCTTCTTATTGATGATTGTAGCATGAAGTGGACTATTTTATTATTCTCATACATTGTTAAATACTACCTAACCCACAAAAAAATATATAAAAATAGAAGCCGACCAGTAGCGGGGTCATGGTCCAAGCTAGCGGTGGTTAGTGCTCCAGAGACAGAAACCTCTTCATACGTGCCGTTTCAAGGAGGACTGCCTTCTGTATCAGGCCCTTGATCCATCCACCTAACATCAGCCTCCTGAGATGAATGGTAATAATCTTATTTTAATCGTTTGCCTCCTATTCCATAAAAAGACTATCCATCACACGACATAATCCTTCCAGGGTGCTTACTCTTGAAACCAATCTCAATGTCAATGCAATTTCAATCCAATAAAATCTCAATAATTATTCAATGTCAAAACTCTACAACCCCTATCGTAGCTGTTAAAATAGCATTCAGAGTACGGAATATAAAGCCAAAGTCAATACCATTTAGTTTATTAAATATTCACGCAATACGTATGCAATGGGCGCTAGTATTGCACTTCAAGAGTATGAAATTTCACAATACCAATGTCGATCAATCGGAATTGAATTCAAGAGTAAGCCCCCAGGCCGGTTCCGGCCACAGCGACCGTTTAATGGCTACTGGCGTCTACATTGGCTCATGTGGCTAGCAAATGAAATAGTTTCAACACAAAAATAATTATTATGTTCTCGGCTTACTCACGTAACTGTTATATTTTCTGTATAGAATGAATGTTATATTTTCGACATATATCTACCGAGTACCGACGATATTCGAGAATGCGAATTGGCTTAAGAATTTGGAGCAATTTTTCTTTGGTTTTATTTTGATAGCTTAGTGTGCGAGTTGCAGCACACATCTGTAATTGATTGCATCAACTCCTCGTCTGGTCAAAGTAAACATCAAAACGGTCAAGTAAACAAAATTAGGCGAGACCCAAACAAACTGGAAACACCATTAGGTCAAAAAATCTCGTAACTTAGATCAAATCTTTCTTCTTTTCGGAAATATTATTTTTTACATACACTGTTCTATGCTCGGAGGTTGGAACAGTCCGGTCAAAGTAAACAATTTATTGAAGTAATTAAAATTAAGGAAGCGCCGCCGCTGGAATTGTGCCCGGTATATGGCAATAGGCTCACCCCCTATTACACGGGACTCATAACATAAATAGTGAAAAGTGGGTGTTACATTAAGTGCCGTACTATGCACCTCTGCCTACCGCTTGGGGCATGAAAAGCGTAATTTTATGTTATAAAAGAAATTAATACGTTTTCCTCTACTAAATTTATCTTTTAGCAATTTAAAATATTATGTACGTTCACATTCGCAATATTCGCATTAAAAATTGCGAATGTAAAAACATGTGCAAATATTAGTTACATCACTAGTATGTCAGTATCTCTGTCTGCGATTATCTCAACCTATTAAACAATTTTGATGCGAATCTCATTTAGGACCAGGT